TCCTAGGTATTTATTCTTTTTCGTGTAATTGTAAATGCGACTGTTTTCTTGATTTCTCTTTCTCTTACTTCATTATTAGTGTATAGAAAGTTAATGGATTTCTGTATGTTGATTTTGTATCTTGCAACCTTTCTGAATTATCAGTTCTAGTACTTTTGTGGTGAAGTCTTTAGGGTTTTCTGTAAATAGTATTATGTCATCTGGAAATAGAGAAAGTTCACTTCTTTACCAATTTTGATGCCTTTAATTTCTTTTTCTTGTCTGATTGCTGTGGCTAGGACTTCCGGTACTATGACAAAATAAAGTGGTGAGAGTGGACATCTTTGTCTTACTCCCAATCTTAGGGGAAAAGCTCTTAGGTTTTCACCATTGAGTATGATGTTAGGTGTGTGTAGTTCCTATACGGTCTTTATTTTGTCGAAGTATATTCTCTCTCAACCTGCTTTGTTGAGGGGTTTTATCATGATTAATAGAATATTTAAAATTTTACTTTAGTTGTTTTTACAAAATACAGAAGTCAGCAATCATTTGTGCTAGCTCACTACAATTATAGTATGTACAAAAGCTACAGTGTTATAAAGGCTTTTTAATATTTCAAAAGAAATATTGTGAAGAGTATGCATAACGTTATATTTAATAATTATAAGATAACTTAAATGTATGTTTTCATTTTCTGTCATAGTATTTTAAAGCAATAATCCAACTTAGGCTTTAGAAAGAATTTTTTAACTTAATTGCTTTTTTATTGAAGTAATCCTAATAATATGCTTTTTTAATGTTTATTTATTTATTTAGAGAGAGAGCGCACACATGCACAAGCAAGTGGGGGAGGGGCGGAGAGAGATGGAGACAGAGAAAATCCCAAGTGTGCTCTGTGCTGCTAGCGCAGAGTTGACATGGATTCAGACCCATGAACCTGAGCTGAAACCAAGAGTCGGACACTTAACCAACTGAGCCACCCAGCACCCCTATGCTATGCTTTTTGAAAGGCATCTTTGTGTGAAGTCTTCATTCATTAATCATTTAACCTGTGTAATTTCCTAAGACAACTATTTATACAAAGAAATACTTTGAAAAGTGCTTAAACTTTGATTTCTGGACTTTATTTCCATTCTTTTATTTCTGGATATAAAGAAAGTCCTTCATTCTCAGATTTTCACTTGAGCACATAAGGATGTATTAGTGAGTGAAACCAATTTTTTTTTTTTGAAATCACTATTTTTAATAAAAGTGGGAGTAGGCAGGGGCACCTGGGTGGCTCAGTCTGTTGAATATCTGACTCTTGATTTTGGCTCAGGTCATGATCTCACAGTTCATGGATCGAGCCTTGTGTTGGGCTCCCTCCATACTGACAGCATGGAACCTGCTTGGGATTCTCTCTCCCTCTCTCTGCCTCTCTCTGTCTCTCAAAACAAATAAATATTTTAAAATATGTATTTTTAAAAAGTGGGGGTAGGGAAAAAGTTAAACTGTTTTAGCTCAGGAACACTAGCACACAGCGCCTCTCAGGATAATACGAATGAGGAATTTGTTCAGTGGAACTTGGAAACCCCCTACCTCTATCGTGGAGTGAGGCAAAATGAGAGAGGAGGGTAGCCAACTGGTACCAGTGAAGATGAGAAGAGGAAAAGAAGGGAGGAAAGTAAACAAAGGAAAAGTTAATGCAAGAGATGAGGGGACTGTCATTCATTCATTCATTTATTCATTCATTCATTCATTTTGCACGTAGTTATTTTGTGCCCTGTGTACCAGGCCCCTGGCATTTTTTAAATGTTTTTTTATTTTTCAGAGAGAGAGAGAGAGAGAGCGCACAAGAGAGTGAGTGCAGGAGCAGGAGGGGGCCAGAGAGAGAGGGAGACACAGAATGTGAAGCAGGCTCCAGGCTCTGAGCTGTCAGCACAGTGCCTGATGAGTCTTGAACCCACGAACCGTGTGATCATGACCTGAGCCAAAGTCGGACACTTAACCGACTGAGCCACCCAGGCGCCCCTCAGGCCTCTGGCATTTTAAGTAGAGGATCAAACAGCCCCTCGTGCTCTTCTGATAGGTAAGCCTGTTGTCCACTGGACTAATGGAAAAGAGGATGAAACAAAAGATGAGCTAGAGTGGAGAGCGAGATCGTACAAAGGGATGTCAGAAGATTGGATACCTACAGACAAGAGAGATGGAAGATTAATTTCTTCTTCTCAGAGCGCAGACTATGTCCGTCTGTCATTTTCTGCACCTACTGGGTGTCTGTGACTTACTTCTGGCATCTTCTCCGACCCTTGTTCTAGACAGTGACCCTCCGGGGGCACTGAGGACCACACCCACACAACCATCCATCCATCAGAAAACCCTTAATTAGGGTCTTTCACATAAGAACCACCATCAGCACCCTGTGTGTCCTTTATACCGTAGGTGTGTATGGTGCCCAATAAATGGGTGAATAATGACCCCATGTGAGAAATGCCATTTAAGAGATGAGTAAGTGAGCTAAGGCCAAGGGATCAGGAAGTTCCCTGGAGGAAGACACAGCCAGGCTGCCTCTTCCCCTTGTTAGCTCTTTCTTTTTAAACATTCTGTCAGAATAAACCAATTTTGGAAAAGCCTTTAATGTGCTTCATAGCAGAAAAGATGTTTACATTTTGGTTTGATTCAATAGTTAACAAATTCGATCTGTTTGATCTGGTTTTTCATTGGTAGATTACTTTTGGTAAAGTCCTGATTACGCTTTAAACATATGGGTTCAAGTTCCTCTTTCCCACCCCCAAATTCATACCCATTTAAAAATGTTTAAAGTTTCCAAAAGAAAACACAAGATCTTTTGTCCCGTCTTTCCACCATCCATCTTATGCATAAATATGTACAGGCAGTGCTCTCTTGCAATTTAATGTGAAACACATGCCCTTCAAGCGATTTAACCAGTATGTGTTCAGAATACGTGTGTGCGCACCAGTTTATTTCCTGATTGGAAACTGCAGTTTGATGAGACTCTTAGGGGCAGCGCCACGGCATGGGTCACACTAGATTTCATGGAGGAGCTCTTTAGAGCAGTTGGCAGGGTCTCAAAGGACCCAACGCTTTTCATACATGACGTTCTTTCATGTAAACCTGATTTAGAGAAATTCGTTGTCACTGGTTTTTCCCTTTACAGCAGCTAACACAGGAAGCCAGTGTCCGTTTGTAGTCCCTGGTTCCTTTCGAGTCTCCACTCTTCTCGAAGGGCTTTGGTCTGCTTTGTCCTAATGCCCATCCCCAGCCCCGCTGCTGCCCGGAACTCTGGCGGCTGTGCAGCCTGGGCTGGGGCATCTGACGGGCCGTTTCAGACTGAGCACGGAGCCACTGGCTCCCAGGCCACTGCGGCCACACCTGTTTCTTCTACCCTCTTCCTCACGTCAACGGATGGCAGCTGTACTCTCGTTCGGGCCCACGCTCAGACCTGATCCTTGCCGCTTGCCGCTCCCCTGTGGGCTGTCCATGAGCAAATCGTGTTGGCAGCACCACTCCGGGCTCCCCACTTCTGCCACCAGCACCCCACCTCCAGTCTCACTGGGCTGCTCATCTCCTCTCCTTCCCCCTGTGTCTTCCTCTAGCCCCTTTCTCTGCACAACAAGAGAGTGATCCTTTCCAAACAGACATGAGGTCCATTCGCGCCTTGGCTCAGAAGCAACCCAGTGGCTTCGTGTCTCATTTAAAATAAAATTCACACGTGGCTCTAGATCCATACAAGATCTAGCTGCCTCTCTGATCTCGTATCTTACCCTCTCTTCTTCTCCCTTGCTCTGCTTTCCCTGTGCCAGCTTTTTTTCTATACCTGTTATTCTGTACCTAAGAATATTCACACCTCAGGGCTTTTGCACTTGCTCTTTCTCCTGAGATGAGCCTTCACCGCCCCACTGTGCACATGTTCATTTCCACAGCTTCTTAGGTCTCTGCTTAAATGTCCTCTTACCCTGCAGAGCTGTCCTGAGCGCTTTTTCCTCTGTCCCTTAGCCTTATTTCTTCCTTAGCTTTTATCCACGTGTGACAGTTTTCTACCCTTGAATTTTTATCTGTTTCCCCCATTGGATTTAGACGTCATGAAGGCAGGAACTTTGTTTAATTCCTTCACTGCCCATCCGCAGCACCTCCCTGAGGCAGCCGTGTGTGGCCAGGGCCTAGATTTTCCGTTTCTAAGTCAAGTGCTCTTCTCATGATTCTGTGTGACTGTCCATAGGATTTTAGGTCCCTTGAGCACAGCGATTACATCTTTTATTCCTTTTGCCCCACTGCCCCCTCCTACTCAGCGAGGCGTCCCGTGTGCCTGGTAAATGCCGTGGCTCCACCGAAGGACTTTCTGAGCTCCTTGTGGCCTGTCAGCTCGATCACAGCCGCTCTCGGGTGTGCTTCCGTCTTTGTGGGAGACAGGCTGCTGCTACTCATCAGATGCACAGTATCTGGAAACTGCAGGCGTTTGAGGGGGGAAAAATCCAGTGTGGTAGGAGTCTGGTTCTCAGTAAATAGATTATGTGTATTCTGAAATTTGAGCCTTTCATGTAATTGTGTAACTTTGGGGGAGAGGATTAGACTGAAATTAATAGGCCTGGTGCTGGTATAAGCCTGAGTGTTTTCTGCAGATTGTTGATATTTCTGCACTTACCCACCTGACGTTCTTATGGAAAGTGTGTCCCAGATACATTTCTTTTTGCAAATGAGAGAGCATCCAGGTGTGGCTTGGATCTTTCCAAAGCAGCTACTAAAAGTATTAAAACTCTTGCATTTTATTCTGAAAATTTCTGTTCTCTTGCCAGCAACATTTGAGAGAGAGAGAGAGAGACAGAGTGTAAGCAGGGCAGGGGCAGAGAGAGAGGGATCCACAGAATCTGAAGCAGCTCGACACAGGGCTCGAAGCCACAAACTGTGAGATCATGACCTGAGCCGAAGCTGGATGTTCAACCCACTGAGCCACCCAGGTGCCCTGCCTACATGTTTCTTAGGTGACTCTGGTAATCCTGATGGTCTTCTCCTTGTTTTTACAGGTGATCTGTAACTCCTTCACCATCTGTAATGCGGAGATGCAGGAAGTTGGCGTTGGTCTATACCCGAGGTATGGTGAATGAGATCTTCTTTACTGGGAGGAACGGCCGTAATTCCCACCAGCCCCCCAGCCCTGTGGAAGGTGCTAGAAAGGCTATTGCTGCAGCTGGTTTAAGAGCAATGCTTGAAACCTAATGATAAATGATAAGAAAATGGAGAATGTTAAGTTTATAGGAAAGAATTTTATAAACCATCTTATATGCGGTGGTATCACCAAAGAGGCAGAGCTCAGACCTAAATTCTTACTCTCAGGAACCCAGGAGGTTGGGGATTGTGGGTGCTGGTGAATGACAGGCCAGGATTGATTCTTCCCCGTCCCTGCCTGGACCTTATTCCGCAGCCTCCTGGGCAGAAGCACACGATTTTATTCTGCAAGCGCAGTCCCACTTTACTTCTGTTTGTTTTCATGCTCTGAAGGTCCAGGTACAAACACAGACCTTCTTATAACTAATTATAAACCTGAGAAGTCAGCTTCTCTTCTTATTTCTCACAAGCCTTAAAAATCACAAGTCTGTTGGTGCAAGTTGTCCGAAAACACTGGCACGAATATTTCGGAGCACAGGCTCTGGGTTGACACCGCCTCATTTCAGATCGGCTCCCACGTGCTAGATGTGTGCCATTTACTTCCCATGTTGCCCTTCTGTAAACGATCCTCAGGAGGTTAGCGTGGTGACTGCATTTGAAAAGCACATGCAAGGGCCTGGAGAGTGCTCCCCACCCAGGAGAGTGCTCCCTGCCAGGAGAGTGCTCCCTACCCGGGAAACTGCTCCCTGCCCAGGAGAGTGCTCCCTGCCCAGGAGAGTGCTCCCCGCCCAGGAGAGTGGCCCCCGCCAGGAGAGTGCTCTCTGCTCAGTAAATACTCACTCACATCTACTCTGAGTATTATCAGACATGCTGCAGCTTAAACCCAATCACCTTCCCGGATGGTCACCGCACTAAGACACTTGGGCCGGCCTGCACTCTCCGGGATCTAGTGAGCAGGATGCTGCCAGTGTTCTGTGTAGGAGGGAAACCTCTCCTCATGGCCCAGTGCAGCTGTGTCCATCCTGCATCCGGTGTCCTACGGGTCCATGTAGACCAGATGCTGTGTGGTGGGGTCCCGGCTGCTATCTAATGAGATGGCCGCCCCCACATTCACCCACAGAAAGGACTCCGAGCACACTTCCCCAAGGAGCCTCCGTGTCGTGTCAGGGGGCGTTTGGCTGTCCGTGACGTGGAGCTGTGACAGCTCTTCCCCCAGAGCACGGCCCCTGGTGCACTGTCAGCCTCCCCTGACCCGCATCCCAGGCTGAAGTGCCTTTGGCTCATTGTATTTGTGAATTCTGTGTGTTGGACTGTGTCTGCTGATTGACGGTACCCCGTTTTTTCTTCCCTGCAGTATGTCTTTGCTCAATCACAGCTGTGACCCCAACTGTTCCATTGTGTTCAACGGGCCCCACCTCTTGCTGCGCGCGGTCCGCGACATCGAGGCGGGGGAGGAGGTAAGTGAGCCACCTTCCCAGCGCCTGGCCTGCGCCCATGTCAGGGACCCTCTCTGCTCTCCGCGCGGCCCTTCCTGTTGTGCCTGAGGGCCAGCTCGTCATCATCCCCTGCCAGGGAGAGGAGCCATAGCTCGTCCACCCAGCCACCCATGTGTCCATCAGTACTTGTGCAGGATGACAGACAGACCGACTTACAAAACGGTGTCTCTGGGTATCAGCAGCTCCTGTTGTACATGTGCGAGACAGAGTGTGAGTGTGCGATGAGAGGACGTGTCCCCTGTGTGTGACGCTCCCCGGCCCCTTGCTCTCTGCCATTGGGCATCCCTCCATGGGCAGGGGGGCAGCCAGCTTTGAATGGACCCCAAGGGCTTACTTACTCCCAAGGCCGCTCCTCACACTTTGAAGGTGACTAATTTTTCCCTTTGTGCTAAGAAAGCAAACAAATTATACACTTTCAAGTTGTCATTGGGCCTATACAGAGCACCTCTGCATGATTGTTCAATCAGGGATGTGACGGGGAAGAGAGGCCAGATGTAGAACCTCCAGCAGTGACTTAGCCTTGACCCTTCGGGTTTGTACCCTGCCGCACCAGCCTCTTGCAGAAGCCCGAGGTTTCATGAGGCAGCCGTAGATGACTTGCTCCTTGACGCTGGACCCGAGCCCACCCAGGGTTGTCACAAGTACCCCCCACCCCCACAAACATGCAGTTACAGGGATCTCCGCTCGTGAGAACCCACCGTCCTTCTGACTTCTAGTGTGCTCAAGTGGATATTTATTGCAAGGAGAGCAGAGTAGCATAAGCTTTTATTGCACTTATGTGGCACTCCCAGTAAACCTGAACTCCAGGCACCAGACTGTACGTAGACAGGGATTTGGCTTTGCTAAGACTCCCTCCAAAGCGGTTTTCACCTGAACGAGCCATCTCTTATGCAGCCTTTTGCTGAATTTCCAGCTCTTCGGGCTGGTGTACTCAATATGCTGGGGTATCTGTCAGCAACATGGAGAATCTCGTGGTTTTTCCCAGGGACACGTGTGACTTCAGGGCGGGCGAGGAAGGGAAGGTCTGTCCGTTTTCAGCAATGTTAGTACTGGAGCAGAAGGCTGGCTGCTGCTGACGGCGCTGCTGCCACTATCATGATGATTTCACTAAATTACAATAAATCGGCCACATGTGAAGTGAACAGAAAAACTGTTAGAAACTCGGAATTCTCAGGAAACACAAAGAGAATATCTCATGTCTTGTTTTCTAGGCTCGGCTGCCAGTTATTTTCCTGAGTGGGTTTTCATTTAGTTGAAAAAGCGTCTTGTGTTTTGGTGCTTATTTCACTTTCTTTCACGTAAATCCCTGGAGCCACAAGCAAATCCCTCCTCTGGCTTCCCCCAGAAGAGCTGTACTCAGATCAGACCATGCAGACTCTGGTATCTTCCTGCCTGGCAGTTACTAGAGTGGCTTCAGAGGGAGGATTCTCCCTGGAAGTCCTTTCTACCATCCTGTTCGTAGATGGGTTTTGTGTAACTGACACGTAATTCACACGTGATTTGATGTAAGTGATAATTTGCTATTTGCATTGTTGCAAAATGATCACAGCTGTACATCTAGTTAACGTCCTCACCACACATAGTCACACAAAAAACAATGGTTTTTTTCTTGTGATAAGAACTTTTAAGATTTATGCTCTTTTAAGATTTATGACTTTCAAATGTGTGTTGCAGGATCGTTAACTATTATAGTCCCTGCGCTGGGCGTCATGTTCTGAGGACTCTTTATAACTGGAACTTTCTACCCTTTGACCCTCTTCACCCCAACTCTGGCAACTGCTGGTCCGATCCCTGTGTCTATGAGCTTGATTTTTTTTTTTTTTTCAGAAAATAAAAATTTCCCCACCTCATTGTGCATATCTGGGTGGCTGACATTTCCCTGCACAGTTTTCCCCCGCCCCCATTTTCCTGTGTTAATGTTATGTACCCTTCCAGGCCCTTTCAAACATCATCTGTCAATAGAGCTTTTCCTGATGTACCAAGTTAAAGGAAGGTCTTTCACTCTGAGATCTCCTTTACAGTGGTTATTAATATTTCTGTGCCATTATTCTGGCCCTTTTGGCGACTTCTCTGTTCACCGAAAGCTTCATGAGGACCAGCCATTGTGTCTTACTTCTCTATCACCTCTATTAGCCAGCACTTGGGGCCTTGCACACAGGAGGCATTCCATAACCCTTTCTTGACTTGACTTCCTGTTACGTTGAGCTTACTGTAAAGACGAGGAGTGTCTCCCACTGTTGAGGGTCTAGATGGATCTGCTGTACATCGTTCACTGAAGGCTGGTGTCCTGAGTCCCTGCCCAGCTAATGCCTGTAGCCACCCACCTCTGAGAACTAACATACATCCTGCACATTTAAAACTGGCAGAGGTGGGCCAGAGAGGGAGAACCAGGAGAAGGGGTATTTTGAGGTTGATTAAGAGAGGCAATTCCTTTTTATTTTGCAAATATTTGCTTTTGTTAGGTTGGGTAAGGATGTAAATTTAAGAATTTTGGTAATTTTGGGGTACCTGGATGGCTCAGTTGACTTTATCTCAGGTCATGATTTCATAATTTGTGGGTTCAAGCCCCACATCAAGCTCTGTGCTGACAGCTCAGAGCCTGGAGCCTGCTTTGGATTCTGTGTCTCCCTCTCTTTGCCCCTCCTTTGCTCGCTCTCTCTCTCTCTCTCTCTCTCTCTCAAAAATGAAAATGTTAAAAAATAAAAGAATTTTGGTAATTTCACAGCATCAACTTTGCATTTGGATTTCTTGCCCACAGGGGTTCCCCAGTTTTATTATGTACTCAGTGGGATATTAGTACCACAACGTAGGCTCCACAAGGAAGACTGCATAGTGCCTGTAATAGGGAAGATCCTTAATCTATGTCTGTTGAGTGAATGGTCGAGCCTTGCTAAAGACAAAACCAGAAGCACGATAGACTCTCAGAGCCATTTTGGAACAACCACTAGTCTTCTGGTGTATCCCACGGCCTCCACACAGAACGTAACATGAAAGCCAGGTGTTGCCAGTTTGAGGTCAGATGAGGAGGGTGGGGAATGTGCACAGGCTCCACAGTAACAACGGTCATCATGGAAATGTCTTACCCTTTGTGTCTCCTCACCTACAGCCACCCTTTCCACCACTTTTGGACCATTTCTCTTTGAACCAGCACCACTTATAACACTTTGCTCCTTAAGGGTTTTCACTGTACGGCTGAGTTGTTGGGTCGGTTTGCTTTGGTTTGATTTTGCTTTTGGGTTTGTGCCTCCTCATCCAGCGCCCCCTACAGAGATGTTTGAGGTTTAAGGTGTGGCTCCCGCGCTGGAGTCCTTGATGGCTGCTGCTTCGGGGTTTTGTTAAGCCACGAAATATATGTATCAGCCAACAGTCTCCAAAAACACGGATCAGGGGAGAAAGCTGGATGGTTCAGGGCACCTGTGTCAGAATTCCCGGTGGAAGAGGCTGTAGCTGGTACGAATGATGCCACCAGCCGCCGGCATTTTCAGGACAAATGTGATCTGCATAAACTGAGTGTATCGGTATCTGTAATAGTAGTTTTGATCTAACGTGTTGTGGGGGTCAGGCATCTTCGCTTAGGTGCTAAGTCACCTGACAGATTCACTGTGTACTTAATTGGGTGTCATGTACTGGGGTGGGCGCTGGGGAATACAAAGATGAGTAAGACCTGTCCAGGCCTTCAGGGGCTCAAGGTATAATCAAGGAAGGGGACGCGGGACAGAAAATAGTTAACAATAACAATGTGAAGAGGACACTAGTATAAATGTACACAGGGCTCTATAGACATTCACATCGCGGGCACCCAGGCGGGGGGTAAGGGGCAGGAGTGGGGAGCGGTTAAGGAAGGCTTCCACAGAACAAACTGAGGGTTGCTGGATGGGAGGTGGGGGGCAGGTTAAATGGGGGATGGGCACTGAGGAGGGCTCTTGTTGGGATGAGCACTGGGTGTCATCTGTAAGAGATGAATCACTGGGTTCTATGCCTGAAGCCAAGACCACACTGTATGTTAACTGACTTGAATTTAAATAATAAATCAAAATAAATGGGGGGAGGGAAGAAGAGGATGAAATGAGCCTGTCACTTGAAGGGTCTTAACTGACAGTACTTGTTGCTAATGAAAAAACTCAAGCTTTCAGTTAAAAACTGGTATTTTCGAAGACTTATATCTACCACCACTAGCATGACAGCCCCTCAGATCTTGAAAGACTTCCTGTGACATTGGTGGTGATGTCAATGATGGGATATTTTCACACTGGATGATTGAAGTGTGTCAATATTTGGAAGATCACCATAGTTCAGTGGACCATCGCATGATGTTGCCAGATCACACTCAAATAAAAGATCCGTGCCAAGTCAGACCAACAGATTTGAACACAACTGAGTTCAAGAAGTTTATCTACGTGATTTCAGCTTCCACATTTCTACTAATCTTTAAGAAATGACTTCTTGCAAAATGTTGGTGTAATACCATAGAAGAATATCCGTAAAAATTATCTGTGAAGCCTATTAAAATACTCCTACTTTTTCCAGTTAAGGAAAAAAAGAAGGCTTCCAGATAAGTAACTCTAGACTCTCGAAGGATCCCTAGAGTTCAGGTTAGCTGAGACAGGGAAGGTGTCCTAGACAAATACACAGAGGGAAGACATAGAATAGTGAGTTCAAGGGGCAGGAAGCATTCTTCTCAATAGACCTAAGACTTCAAATGTGACCAGCAGATGAGGGAATAAGCAGGGACCAGACCTTATCAGAGGGACCCATGGGGGCCTCATTAAGGAACTCACTCCATCTGAAGGTTCCATCCCATTGTCTGGCCCATAGAAGCACTCAGCAGATATTTGTGAAGGGGCTGCAGATGGGCAGCAATGGGTGGATGGTCACCACTGAAGCAGAGGAATGGCGTGATCAGACCTTGCACGTGTAAGCAAGTGTGGGAGCACAAGGGTCAGCTGGGTGAGGTACTCCAG